TCCAGGAAAGGACAAAATGGATGAGCTCCAGCGGACCTAAACTCGGAGTTGGTACGGTCGTGCTCATGCGCGACGACAATGTGCCTCCGCTCCAATGGTCCATGGGCAGGGTAGTCGCCCGGCCCTTCGGGGAGGCATGGGCATGCCATCGGGCGCGTCCCCGGGTTGCKGATAGGGGAAAGTCCTGCAGATATGCAGGATAGCCGCGAAATAAGCCATACCCTTCGGGATTGGACGAATAAGCGGTCGCGGACAAGCACACCATCGGGGAGCCGATCGACCCCCGGTGTTCCAGATGATCACGGCCTACTGACGGAAAACAGGACAACCGACGCGAGGCTGGCGTCGGCAGTGTTGGCTTAGCCACCAAAAGTCAATATGGAAAGTCACAAAACAACGAATATTGTTACTTCCCCAGGAGGTTCGGATATCCTCCAGGAGACTACTTCGCAGGGTGGGCAAGGGAGCCATGCGGGGTCGAAGAACGATCCCAAGACCGCCAGCGTTCCTGCACAGGCGCTGGCGGGCACCCGCGTGGGTGTCCAGAGATGTGAGATGACCGACTCGGAAAACAGAAACAAATTGGATTTACTGGAACGGACAAGGACGAAATTGGAGATTGAGAGGGTGTCACTGGCACAGAAGCTTAAGGCATCTGGGTCAGTGGGCACGCCGAGTGTTGAAAAGGGGAACGCAGTAGAGGTGGCCGGCCAGGCCTCTGTTTCTGGTACTACTACTAGCGCCGAGAACGATGGCATTAAACCATTGAAGCAGACGGCGTCATCGTCTATCGTACAAATGGACATAGAAGGGAAACGGATGGGAAACTCCACACCACAGACGGTAAGGACAATCAACATCCCCTGTGTGAGGATCAGTTGCTGGAAAAGATCCTGTTCTATGTAACAAGCATGAACAAATTCGCGAGTGCTACGCGAAATCTTCATAAGGAGATCAAGGATACTATCCCGAAAACTTGTATGCTCCTGACACAGTACATGAAAGTGAGGAACCAGAGACCAACGGCACTGAACAGCAAACCAGTCGCGGAAGACACGGGGAAAAATGCGGCTATCCAAACGCCAGCGTTGACCAACGCCGAGAAGCCAGACAGCCCCCTTATGCCAATAMTGGAAAAGATACAAGAGCAGTTGGCGACGCAGCAACAATCAATTGACCAGTTAGTGGCCGAGCGGAACCACCAGCTGCCTCCGGAAACATCGAGGAATCAAAAGAACCAGGCCCTACGGAGCGAGCCACGGGAACAGCAAGGGAAGGTGGAAGGGGAAGAGCCGAACCCACCCGAATACAAGGCTGTCAAAAGAAAGCGAAACGGGAAGAAAAGAGCAACCGCAGCTCCAGTTCCAGATGCAGCCCCTAGTGCAGCTCTCTACAGCCAGCAAGAAGAGAGACCAGCACCGGACCAGCTGTCTCCAATGATTCTGACGGGAACCGGAGGTACCAATTGGACGACAGTCAGGAAGAAAGGTACGGGAAAAAATCTGGCTAAAGAAGTTCCGGACGTCCTTATTGTGAAGGTAAACGAAGATAAGACCTATGCGGAAACATTAAGAAGGCCGAAGAAAGGACTAGGCGATGCTGGGCTCACGAACGAAGTAGGAATGACCAAGAGAACCGCTAGAGGAGATCTCCTCTTAAGAATGGTAAAAAGGACAAATAAAACTTCGCAGGTGAGAGAAACAGTACAGAAAATAACAGGAGCTGAAACGCACCAAAAGACGAGCAAAGTCGCGGTGGAGATACGTGGACTCGATGCAGATGCGACGCCAGAAGACCTAGCTGCGGCAATTTCAGTAAGAACAACGACTACAATGACCATAGAGGACATCAAGGCGATCAAACCCGGAAATGAAGGGAAATTGACATCAGTGGTCTTGCTCCCTGCTAGAATAGCCAACGAGCTAGCAACAGGTCCACGGTTGCGTATGGGCTGGGCAAACTGCACAGTCAAAATACGCATACCAATGAACAGATGTGCTCGTTGCCTGGACTTTGGTCACAGGAAAAGTGGGTGTACCGGACCAGACCGTTCAAGCGTATGCCTCAACTGCTGGAAGGCTGGACATACGAGAAAGGACTGCGAGGCAGAACAGCGTGGGCTGTGTGAAGAAGATGGTGTCGAGGGATCAGGTAACCACTTTTCTGGCAGTGGGGGATGCCCAACATTCAAGCGATTCCTTGCTAACCACGGGAAGAAACGATGACGAGAATGCTACAGATAAATCTCAACTGCTGCAAGGTGGCGCAGCAGTTGATGCTTCAAACTGCCACTGAAAAGAAGGCTGACGTTTTAATTGTATGTGAGCAAAACACAACACTGCCACATTGGCATTCAGATACAGACGGGAAAGCTGCAATCGCAATCCATCAGGAGACTATCTTAGAAGAAGTAGGGGACGCCGGAAAGGGGTACGTGTGGGTTAGGATCGGAGGGATCCGAATCTATTCCTGCTACGTCTCACCTAACACAACTTTTAATGAATACAGAGAGTACCTAGAGCGGCTAGAATCCAGCATACGAGCTGGAACGGGGGAAGTCATACTAGCCGGAGACTTTAATGCCAAAAACGCAGAGTGGGGATCAGCTATTAGTGATCAAAGAGGCAACGAGCTCGCAGCTCTAATCGCCTCCCTGAACCTGAATGTATGCAACATCGGAAGCACTCCTACGTTCGAAAGAGGATCGAGTCGCTCCATCCTGGACCTGACATTCACATCGCCGCTCACGGCGCGACAAATGTTAGATTGGAGTGTGCTTGATGAAGAATCGAGAAGTGATCACAAATACCTCTTCTTCAGAATTGGACCACATACCGGAAGACATCCCGATGTTCCCACGGGATGGTGCCGCAAGAAACTCGACCCCGGAAAACTCAAAGAATACCTGGATGGCAAGGAACTACCGCGAAATGCGTACGAATTGATGGATAGAATAAGAGGAGCATGCGACGCGGCCATGATCACAAACCTCAATATTGGTGGACAAACGAAATAGCAGAGCTAAGAAGAGCATCGTTGACAGCCAGAAGACGATACCAAAAGCGGCAAGGAGAGGTCCGTCCGAAGATGAAAATCAAGCATTCAAGGCTGCCAGGACAAATCTACGGTTGGCGATAAGGAGGAGCCAAGAGGCCTGCTGGAAAAGCCTGTGCGCCGAAGTGGATCGTGACCCCTGGGGAGTGCCATACCGAACAGTCATGAAGAAGATTGGGAAGCTACCGGCAATTCCCACAAGCATTGTCCCCGCCATAATATCAGAACTCTTCCCAATCCACCCGACAATAGAGGAAGGGAGCGCACCTCAGCGTCAAACACCAATATCTCCAGTCACGCTACAGGAAATGGTAGTGGCAAGTACAAGACTGTATCCGGGAAAAGCCCCTGGCCCAGATGGCGTGTCGAACGAGGCGCTGAAAGTGGCGGTGAAAACGCATCCAGCTATGTTCCAGGAAGTCTATGGACAGTGCATGGAAAACGGGGACTTTCCAAAACCGTGGAAACGAGCGAGACTGGTGTTGCTGCGGAAAGGGGACAAACCAGCAGAGCAGCCATCAAGTTATCGTCCATTATGCATGTTGGATACAACGGGCAAATTGTATGAGCGAATACTCTGCAACCGCATAGAGAAGGCAATGGATATGGAAAAAACCGGGCTGGCAGAAAACCAATATGGATTCAGGAAAGGACGTTCGACGATTGATGCGATTAGCAGAGTCATGGCGGAGGTGATGGTTGCTGGAACAGGGACGCTTCGTAAAACACAGTTGTGTGTGCTCGTTACAATTGACGTTGCCAACGCGTTTAACTCGGCACCATGGTGGGCAATAATCGAAGCATTGACAAGGAAAAAAGTCCCCGACTACCTTGTTAGGGTCTTGCGAAGCTACCTCTCCGACAGGGAGATAATACAAGGCAAGGGACACCAGACGGTTAAACTAACCAGCGGAGTACCACAGGGGTCTGTGCTTGGCCCACTTCTATGGGGTATAATGTACGATACCTTGCTCTTAACTAAAATGCCCGATGGAATAATACTGGTTGGTTTTGCTGACGATATAGCTATCGTAGGAAGAGCGGGGACAGTTGACCAACTGGAAGGCGCTATCAACGAATCCCTTAGGCTAGTTAAAGAATGGATGGACGCGCATCAGTTAAAACTAGCCTTACATAAAACGGAAGCTGTCATGCTTACGAGGAAAAAGGGCTACCGTAGGCCAACGTTCCTGATAGGAGGACAACAGATAGGAATACAGCACTCCATCAAATATCTGGGAGTTGAAGTGGACTCTGGAAGAAGATTTAAAGAACACGAGAAGATGGTCGGAGCCAAAGCCATGAAAACAGCGCATGCCTTGTCTAGGATACTGCCAAACATAGTAGGGTCGTCAACAGCAAAGAGGAGGCTACTGACAAGCGTGGTTCATAGCCAACTATTGTATGCTGCACCGATATGGGAGCCGCTGTTGTTCAACAGAGCGGGCAGCAGCACGCTGATCAAAGGAGACGCAGCCAAGCATTTGAAGGCAGCAAAACGGTTGATGGCTCTTAGAGTCACCAGAGCTTACAGGACGGTGTCTTATGAGGCAGCAATGCTTATAGCTTCAATACCCCCAATAACGCTTCTAGCGAAAGAGCGAGCCGCGGCGCACACTGCTACGAACAAAGCGCAGGCACTCAGAGACGCCCGGAAAGAAACAATGACGCGATGGCAACAGGATTGGGATACCACAGAGAAAGGAAGATGGACACACGTGCTGATAAGAAATGTGGAGAAGTGGACAAGCAGGGGCCACGGTGATATTGACCACTTTCTAACACAAGCCCTCACAGGCCACGGATTTTTCAACGAATACCTATATAGATTCAAAAAACTTGAATCCCCAAGATGTTCCCTATGCGAGGCGCCCATAGACGACGTGAATCACACGATATTTGAGTGTGACGCATTTGGAAACTGGAGATGGCAACTGATGGAAGAGATCGGGTACAGCCTAACAGCAAACAACCTAGTGGAACAGATGCTCCGGGGAAAGGCCGAATGGCAGCTCATCGCAGCGTACATCAACCGAATAATGAGGTTCAAGTGCAAGGAAGAAAGGAGAAGGCAGGCGGAAATACGCATAACAATCTAGTTTAAGTATATTTTTTTTTTATATGCTGAATAGCAAAAATAGAGGGGTAGGGCCCTCAAAATTTTGTAAAATTGATATTGTAAAGAAGGCAGGTAAGGGGATTGTCCTACCTTCCTTTCTATCTTGAAGCTGTATGTGTTTACTCAATAAACGATGGTGGCGTCCTTCACGATGTGCGGAAGCAGTTCGAAGGACGCCTACCGATACCGAACGCAAAAAAAAAAAAAAAAAAAAAAAAGGGTAGTCGAGGTCATTCACGGTTCCAATGGGCAAGTACGGGTGGCTAAGGTGCGAACTTGCGAAGGCGAATTTTCCCGGGCAGTTCGTTATTTATGTCCCTTCGAGGGCAATTCACCACTCGATCAACAGTAAAAAAAAAAAATTGTTTTTTCTAAAGTCAGGGTTAATAACCGAGTATTATATTTCGTATGGTATTAACTTTATTGTATACAATTTGTAGAATTATTTAATATTTATAGTAACCATATGTCATGATTTATATTTGCGTATCCACGCCTATTACATATGTATTTTTTATTTTTTATTTTATTTCATGTATAATCTGTTGATTGTATAGTAATGTATATGTTAATGTGTATAATAATGTATTTGTATAATAACTATAGGTAAGTAAAATTTGAAACATAATGTTCCAAGGTGGGCGGCATGTTCGGTCACTACTCATTATATATATTATTATTATTATCGGTTGTACTGTTATCGGTGATTCGACCGAGACACCGGATCTATAAAATTATTGTTAAGTCAGTCGACATAGTACCGCGCGACCGAGTGCGCGTCGTTCGACCCTCTAAGCTATTTTGTATTATTAATTGTAATATTTCAAGTTATGTTTGCATCAGCTAAATAAATTTATACCCAAAGTAAAAACCAAGTCGGGTAATTAGTTTCATGAGTACCTACCCAAACCACGTAACATGATCTAAAAACAGTTATAAACAAAGGTACATTTTATTAGTTTTCATAAATAAATATTCATAAAAGCATTAATATATTATAAATTACATCATTTTGAAATACCTACTTACCTTATAGCAATGGCCAACATTTCTTCGGATCCTATAGATTTCCTCATTTTTGTATCTTTAAGAGATATTTCTTCTTTTAGAGTAACATGTAATTCATCAAATGTAGAAATTGACATCCGAAAAAAATTAAAGAATTTTTTTGGGTCAGACCTTAATTCATTGTATAAAGTTTTGTAAACACCCAAATTTTCACGATTTTGTAATATTGGATGAACCCAGTACTTTCTTCTGTGAGGTCTTATTACTAGTTTGTGTCTTCGGTAAAGTAAGTATAAAATTAATAACTTTTTTAATTGCTTTTTTAACACCATGATTACAAAAACTTCACAATATTTGCACACAACGTACCGATTGGAACTGTACGAGGGACTRTGTGAAAATTTTGTCCGTTTTCTATTTTTATCCGATCCGTTTCCGTTGCCGTTAAAGAAACGGACTGTGTGGCCTTATTCCTATAACCATTAGTAATAAAACGTAGATATCGCGTGCTAATGCACCAATGACCGCAGTTTTATGCAATAAATGTTCCCCGTTTCCCCCTTCATCAATTCGTCGTCGACGTGCCGTGGTTCGTGGTTGCCCGCCGCCCGTCGCCTCCAGTGCTTTCGTCGCGTCCGACGGTACAGCCTGCAGGTAATACTGTACTCCCACGATATAATTGTAATAATCCCGCAAAAGTACGACAATGAGCTGCCCCACTACTCAAATAAAGCATCAAGTTCCGTCGACGGCCTACGGCACACCGCCGCCGTCGTTCGCTTGACATTTTCTTTTTCAACGGCTACAACAGCAGACGTCTCCATCCACACTTTCGTCCAGAGATCTGCCAGATATCTCGTGAGCCGAGCCGCCACAAACAATACCGCGTTGGGTCCTGGTGTATTTTGTTTTTTTTCTACGTTGTCAACCCGGCCACCAGCCAAAATGATGGGCTAAGCCAATCACTACGGGCCCGAGGCGGGCGGAGCCAACACCACGTCGATCAACAACCATGTGCAGCTCAAAAGTCGTGATTATTTTTCCCCCAACATTCCTTTTTTTTCATTTTGATTATGTATCACAACTTTTTTTTTTACACTCCGGTTCTTCTCAACGGTGCCCCGAGATAATTAAATATTATTTTTTCCTTTTTTCATTTTGATTATGTATCACTACTGTTATGTCTACTTATGCTCAATTTCTCCTAATAGGTGTCCGGGTAACCGTCATGCGGAGCCGTGGGTCTTTTCCTTTAATACATATAAGAGTATAATGTGTCATACCGACGTATGATTATCATTCCGTGCCGGTAACCGCTTGTCGGCCGTATCCATTTTCCTCCAAAAACGAGATACCGTTTTCCTCCACTGACCATTTTCCTCCAATAAATAATAAAGTAGGTAATATAAATAATTTATTGCTATGGACTAGCGTCCCGCATTGCTTAGTTCACGGTCAACTAGGTAATAATTATGTAKACACCACCTRAGAGGGTAACAATTCCAAGRGAGTGGCCATGGATTATTAAAATAATAAGAGACTACTAAAGGTAAAWGTTGGGCGTGGACACCAAATAACATTACATAACAATGGGGGATTAACTGAACATTTAGGGAAACAGATMGATAGGCGTTCCATGTCCTCAGGACGTCAGACACGACTATGGGATAAGAATTCCAAGAAACGATACCCAAATTAGGAATATACTGTCATAATAATAGATACAGTATTATCAAGCATGCAGCTGCACGGGATGTGTACTGATCTCATATGTGGGCAGGTGGCATTTCCGTCAGTTTAGAATCTAAACTTTAGATGATTATACCACATCCGTG